GAATATCATCACACGGCGTTGACGCTTCTTGTAGAGGATACGATGTCCACATCGGTTGCACTTGATAGCATCCTGATAGCAGATATAATAATGATATAATCATCACATCCTCCTCCTCCTTAATGATGATATTACCGCCATTAACTTCAATTCCTGCTCATTTCCACAATTACCACACACATAGAGTACTTGATTTGGCAGACTCTGATTATTCTCCACAGCTACTGCTGTTGATACACCCACAGACTGCTGCTGCTGTTGTTGTTGATGTTGCTTCATTGAGGACATATGGTAGACAACCAATACCACTAGAAAATGACTCCTTATGTTCATCAACCAACACCGAAAGAGGCCAATAACAGAAACACAACGATAGCGGCGGCGGGCCACATGGGACGCATTCAATCATCGCTCTCTCGGAAGGGGCGTATGGCACTAACTCGGAAAACGCCTGGCTTGAGCAACTGAGACCAATAACTCACTATTCTCCTCCTACTACTCAATGAGTTCATGAGCTACTAATGATGATGATGATATTGTTCACTTACGGACATCTCGAAAACCACATAATTTCGACTAACTCTGCCGAGTTGCTTCTTTGATTTATGGAAAGTCAATAATTCTTCAACGTCTACTTGAAGTACCTACTTGAGAATTCAACAACACCGATATAGTACTCACTTGATAAGGATGACTTACATACTGATACCATGTATGGTGATGATGCGTAGCCATCCTTGCTTGTATAATTGATGACTCATATGGCACGACCGTCCATGATGTAATATTTCGTGGTCGGATTTGTGACCAAGACTACGATGATAATAATAATAATAAACACGATAAGAATGTCATTATTATTATTACCGATATGGCAATCGATGTGGCCAAATCGTTACGATCTTCTGGTTTCATATCCTTCCTCGCATGATACACACACTAACACAGATGAAGGATTATGATGATATAAGAGATGCATATTATCTCCTACAAACTCCTCCATTCTACTCATAAACATCATATTCCATCCCTCTATTGTTGTGAAGTCATATTCATTAAAAAGATGTCTTCTTCTTAATATTCTACCAGTAGCTCGTAGATGCTTAACCGTCTCCCACTTATTCCAGAAAAGGTCGGGATCTTTAGCATCCTTCTCCCATGGAGGCTCCTACACAGAGGAAGAGAAGCTACTACTACTATCACCGGGGACAGCAGGCACACAAACTGATGGAGCAGCAACTAACCGACACCCTCTACGAAAACACTCTTCTACTATACTAAAGTGCTCTTTAAATGATGATGATGATGATGTTGTTGTTGTTGCCATGAACGTGAGCACATAAGAGAGGTATTCTTACAACAATGTGATCATCCTTGCTTATTTCTGGTAGGACCACCACTGTATTGGGAGCACCAGAAGTTGCCATCCTATTGGGTAGTCGTGGTAGAGAGGGGATGAGCAGCAGTTGCCGTAGTTTGTTCATATAAAAACCCTATAAAGATATACCAAGATTCCCGCAAATATTCGGCACTTCATTCTCATAGATACTCTAAATCCTTCGAATTAATACATGATACGGTTAGAATAGATACAAGAAGGATATGATCATCATAAGATCACAACTATAGGTAGGGGTAGAGTAAGTAGAACTAGGAGGACTAGTCTTACTGCTAGTAATGAGGTTATCATGATATTATGATGATAATAATAGCAAGGGATAATAGTAGTAGTAGTAGTAGTAGTAGTAGTGAAGTGGGACATGATTATACCTGGTTAGTGATGATGTTAGAATCCCGATAACACAACATTAATAGAGGGTATTACTATGAGGTAATAATTGTTAATCACTCGACAGATGGTATTATTCAACAGCAGTAGTGCCTATTGCTGCTGCTGCTGGTCAGAAGTAGTTGCACTACTACTGCTCCTAATCCTATTTCTCCTATTCCTCCTAGTTGTTGTATTAGAGTAGCGTGGAGACGAAACGACGCTGTTATAGCTTTTACTTCTACTCCGTGATACTCTGTGAACTTCGGCAGCATCAAATGCAGATGATGGGGATCCTAATAGTGATGGTAACATGAGCCCTACTACTACTACTACTACTGTGTCGATGTCCAGCTGCTACTGTTGGTGATGATGATGAATCCATATCGTTGTTGTTATTGGCCTTCTTAGGTGTTGGTAAATAACCATACTTTTGTATTAATCGAGCATCATCTATCTCCTTTTGGTATTGCTGATAATAAGTGATATAAGACTAGGACTGCTACTGTTGTTGTAGTTGTATTCTACCTGTGCAAACTGTTCCATGCATGATTTAGCAAAGATGAGGATAATAAGTCCCATAACCCAACGGAATGCTGTTGCCACCAGATGATGAGTAGTATTGTGATGATGATAATGATCTAAACCTTAGGTCATCAATACAGCAGCACCTGGATTACTCTTACCTCCTGTTGGTTCTATATATCCATTACCACCACTACCATGTATGTGTTCAGTAGTATTGCTACTACTACCACCAGAGAACTTAACAACCATTGATTGTAACTTATCCGTTATTTGTTGCTCATCAGCACCAAACTATAACGATGTATAATGACAGAAAAGCATCATTACTATTATTATTACCTTGCTTGCTATTCTCGCTACGCCTTGAACCATTACAAGCCGTCCATTAGGTGAGAATAAAACAGTGAAGAACACTAGCTGACCAAATACCTAAGTGGCAAGAATGACCATGATGACGACCATGATGATGATTGTGATTGTTGTTATTATTACCTTGATAACAGCCTTCCCAAGGAATACTGCTGAGAAGAATGTCCAAAAAGGCATAAGGAAATGGCCACAACATAGACCACAGAGATCGAACATAGCATTGGGCCACGCCGACATAAGCAGAACTCCCTGATTAGTACTACTATGATAATAATAAAGAGGAGAGGAGGACCCACCCAAAAACCATGTTTTTCGAGGAATTGTATCATCCAGTTCTTCATCCAATCAACAACAACATCAGCAGAGTTGTTGTTACAAGTAGCAGCAGAATCCTATATCCATGATATTGATTATACGGACTACATAAGTTATTATTATTACCACAACCCCAAAAGCCTCATTAAAGTCCTCATCCTCGAGCCCCGCCTTACGTGCCGCATACCTAAGATCATAATAATATACATACCACAACCACCACAACCCTTGGTAGTATTATTATTACGAAGTAGCATAAGGTGGTAGCTCGCCAATAGCTGTACCAATACCCCATAGCATGCATGGTAACCATCCTGCTGATAGTAATGACCATAATGTTACATTGGTGTGGTATGAAGCAGAATCAGCATCAGGATTAATACAAGTGAACGTTTCATCAGGTTTCATAACATTACCCCACATATTAACCCTATAAAGTAGTAGTATTGTGGTATGGTATTAGTACTACTACTACCTCCAGTCAAACTGCATGTTGTTACATTCTTGTGCTGTCGATGATATAAGATATAGATGAGGGAATAAGAACAATAAACCAGAATGCATACCAGTACCAAGACCAACACTGGATAATACACCTAATCCTACCCACCTAAATGATGATAGTATAATAAGATCAACAACAACAACAACACTAGTAGTAGTAGTACCATATTATAAACTGGAACCAGGTAGATATATCATCCTGCACATATTGATGAGGACCATCATAGAATCGTCCTAACATCCATAACAACATAAAGGGTATAATGATGTACCTATATAAGTAGTAAGTATCAGAAGTTGAGTTGAAGACTACAGAGTAAAGGCATGGGCTGCTACATACAT